CACTTTATGTCATATAATGTCATTATTATTTATAAAGTTATAGAAGTTGTACGTCTTATTTATATTTTTATTTGATATAAAGAAAAATATTTAATGCACGTTGGTATTATTATTTTATGTAATCAATTTAAAATATGTAAGTAAATTTAATAATAAATAGTGTATAAATATTTTACAAAATATACACATGTTTTTTGTATTTAATTTTGTATGCTAATTAAACAACTTTGAGTCAGAAAATACCAAAAACTCCATCCCCTCTATGATCAAGATTTTTATACTTTGCATTATAAGGATTTATGGTTTATTTAGCATACTCATCAATGAAAATATATTTTACAAGTATTTAATTATAGAAATAAATAAAAAAAATAAAAAAATATAATCATGGGTGCCAATAATATACAAATAAATTTTAAACAATAGTTAATATGTTTCAATTTTAATTTTTTACCGTTAATAAACTATTTATTATATCTAGTTATTATCTCTTAAATGGTAAAATATACTATTAATTTGAAGAACAATTTATTTTTTATATTTAACAAGATAAAGCTTAAGAAACAAATATATTGGCAAAGATTAATTCACCAACTTAATTTTGTGTGATTACTTGGAAAAAAAGTTTCTACCTAACCTGTTACGATTTTCAATAAATATTTTTGGATAAAAAGTGAATATTTGTGAAAAAAAATAATTAATATTACGGTTGGAACTTAAAATATGGTGTAATATTATCTTGACCAAAATATTATCAACATGGATCACAGAAATCAATCATGTAATTTATTATAATGAATATCAATGAAAGTATTACAAATATTAATAAAATAATATTTATCTTGACCAAAATATTATCAACATGAATCACGAAAATCAATATTGTAATTTATTATAATAAATATCAATGAAAATACTGTAGATATTAATAAATTTATTGAAGTAATTATTTGATCATATGTTATTTGATCTTATTTGAAAACATGTAAATAGAAGCAATTAATTCATACATTTAAAAAATTTCCAAAAATAGTATGCATTAAATGTTTCCTAAATTTTTGCTACTGTTTTTTAGAAATGGTAATTCTTTTTATATATATATAGATATCAAGTTGATCGAGGAGTTATATAGCCTTTTAAAATAGGAGCAGAATGATAGGGTGGGATTTTTTACCCCTGAATTATGGAATCGAATCGGCTGGACTTAAAATAATCGATTCGGTTCAGTTATTTAAAGAAAATTCAGTTCAAATATTTTTTGCACAAATCAGTTCCAGATAGTGAATCATTTTCAAATATTAACCGAGGAACTGACTATGTATGTGCAATATGCATATTTTTTTATAATTTTATAATATTGATCGGTTCCAATTCTTAGTATTTATAAGTCGGCCTTTTATGTATTTCAGTTCTCGATTTTTATGATATTTTTTGTACGGGAGTTGCAATATATTTACCGATTCTTAAGTCAAAATCGGTTATAATCAACTATTTTTCATAATCCGGCTAACCGATGAACGAGATTAATCAAACTGTTAAGTACAGTTCGGTTCCTTTTAGGTTCGGGTTTTAATGTTTTAACCAAACAGGTTATTTTATAGCGTTTTCAGTTCCCCTTCCGGTTCCTAAAAATTATGCTAGGAATCAGACGGTCACAAGCCTACAAAATGAGAGCTCGCCTAGTGATATGGGATATTATATACACAAAGCTAAACCGGTCTACTGGGCCGGTCGAGAAGGTTAAACCAAGAGGGAGCCAAGCCAAAAGGCGGGAAGATCGAACATTCAGGGAATCGACCAGACTAATGATCGAGCAATCCATCGCTCGACCAGACTAATGATCGAGCAAACTACTCGACCTCTGCAGGTCGATCGCTTCGAGGAACCCATAGTCGACCTAGTTGTGGGCGCGTGTACCGTAGGCGCGCGTAAGAGCCTCTAACTGAAATCTCCAGAGAATATTTACCCCATGTGCTGGGGGA